AAACAAGATGGTAGGTGCTGCCCAGTCACGCAGACTGGTATCTATCGGCACTGGTCGCCTGCGCCTACGTTCCCTTGTGTAGCTTTGGAGCGCTGTTGTATTTTTAGCGTGTCACGCGCGTTACACCGCATTACAGCGCGTTGTCGCGCCTGCAGCGTCTCGACGCAAAGTCTGAACGCTGCCGAACTGATTGCGCGGTTTCCGAGTTACGCAAATCTCAGATCACGCTTTTTAGTGCTCGATGTAGTATAGTCTGCCACGAGTTGATCAATAAATCAATACCTTGCCTCTGCAGCTCCTTCGTATTATCCAATAAGCATCAACAACAAATTGACCGTTATTGGAGAGGACCAGGAATATCAATGGGATACCAATTACACAGTATCCGATACAGACTAGTTTTCCGACATTCGTTGTTGGAACCACATTACCGTATCCTAAAACCTGGGTACTTCACAAATTCAGCTTCTATCGATAAGGTAGGTAAGGTACCGCGAGTAAAGGCTGGAACACGTTTGACAAGCACATCGAACACCCACCAATGGTTAATATTGTAGTGAATATGAATAATAAGGCTGGTGGGAAGTCCTCCTTCCCAATACCTTCATCCGCGTACTGTAACAAGACGGTTCCGAATAGAAGATAGGCGACCAATAGGAGGTTGAGCAAGACGTGAGGTGTCGCTGAGACCACTAGCTACAACAAGATCATAAATAATATGGGAAATGAAAAGAGGACAATATCCTAAAAACTGTAGCTGTGCCAGTTATCAATTGGTGAGTTAGTTGTGAAATGGCATGGATATGAGTGTAATTGCCAGTGGCGAGCAGATGTAGTTTATTGTAATGTACCTATCAATTTTACGCTCGTGCGGCTCTTTCGTGTTTCTGAAGACGAATGTGCGGCTATGTCACTTGCTCTTACCTCTTTGATGAAGTCGTTCTCGTTGCAACATCGATCCAGTATAAACTCTCTTTTCCATGTATCGTAAGCTCTCATACTTCCTCGCCGAATGACTCTATATCGGCCGGTGTACGTCTTCTATAAAGTGGTAAGTTGTCAAGTGCACAACTATGGAGGCACATTGGTATGTTTTCCTGCTACCACTCGCTTGGTCAGATCAAATCTTGCGAATATCGTAAGACGACCGGGTCTTCAGCTGCTATTCGGTAGA